TTGCACGCTCTGCATGAGGAGAGTTTTCTCACTTGCTTGACTTGTAAAGTAGACATCTAAAGAGGGCCTCGTGCTCTGCAGCTGTGGTTATCTCTTTTAGGCTTTGGCTGAACTTGCCAAAGTTTGTTTCTTGCGGTTGGTTACTGCATCCTCATTGCTGTCAGGTATAGTTGCTTCCTAACTCAGTGCTGTCAAATTGCGAGATTATTTGCTTATTCCTTGAATTCTGGTTTGCTTGTTTGAGAGCCTGGAGCATTTCAACAGAACCAGGTAGCTGAAACTGTGTATAGTCACTCTAGCAGATGGCATCCTCTGCCCAGGAGATAGTATTAATGAACCTGGGGAAACAGTACTTAACAGGGAGTTGTTGCAGTTGGAACAGTACATCTAGTTCCATCTTTACCTATACCTAGCAAAAGGTATACTGAAGATGCACGATGAATTCGACAAGGGATTTTGCTTGAATGAGGACTAACAAATGTGGTAAAGATTAAACAGTTCATTGCCTCATTCCTGGATCATTTTATGTGAACAATGCTTTAGGAATACAGTGGGACTCCCTTCAGCAAACCTTCCCTTTGTTCTCTAGGAAAGTGTAACTTTCAGGTTCATAAGACAGGTTCAGTAGTGCTTAGTTAAACCCACTAACATTTTTTCTTGATACACTCAGTGATAAGACTACAACAGAAACTAGCTTAACATTATCCATTGTCTTCTGCATTGGTGCTGTGACATAAATAAAAATTCTGGTTTCAATATGAGGTAGGGATGGAAAAGTGGTTTTCAACTATGTCAAGAACTTTAAGGAAAGTGTAGAGGCATGACTTAAATAGACACTGTGTGTTTTGCTTGTTTTTCTTTCTTTTACAGAATAATTGGCACTGTCATTTAAATATTACATATTGGTCTCTTAAATAATACGCGAAATGGTAGATAAAAACATTGTTGTCTTGTATGTATATGCACAGTAGGGTGATGTGAAGGTAGTAAAAGGGGAAATTTGGAGTTTCTCTTTGCCAGTAGGTATTCTAGGTAAGCAATGGTACTATAGAGGTGGTAGTGACATTATTTCGTAATACCGGGTTTTTAAATTTTAATATGATCACTTGGGAAATAAGGCTATACAGGTAATTCCACAAATACTGTGTACTGCTAGTGATCTTGCCATACAGCCATGAGAAGCGTATTGTGAGACTTGGATTTCTATGCAATGAGAGTTATCTTGTGTCTATGGGTTCCTGTAGATTTTCTGCTAGTGGTTATTTGATTAAGAGGAATCATGACCCACAAAAAATCGTGACCCGCCCTTCATCTGTCACAACTGAGTGACGCTTTCTCTCAGCAGTAGTGTTTGCCCTCTCTTTTACCAGGGAGAAAATGGTATCTTTTAAAAAGTTCCTTATATAAAGGGAAATTAAGCCTTGCTTAAGGCCAGCCATATCTAAAATTACTTCTATGGGAGGCCGTGGCAATTCCATTTTGTTTTCACACATCTGGGAATTAATAAAGTGTCGGAACTGCAGATAAGTACATAAAAAGTGCAAGGAGAAATTAATAGTGCTCTGAATCAAGTGTCTGCTCTACAGATTTCAGCTGAGTATCTAATTCCAGAATCCGTCTGGAAAAAAATTAGTTTAAAATTAGAATCTGAAGATTTGTGATTCACATACAGTTGTTCATGATGGATGGTCATTCAACAGCTGGAAAGCTGTCTGTCATTTTTCCATGAGCATCTTCAAACCCAGCTGAAAGCAGAGGATGTCTGTGCTGTGTGTTGAAGGGTTTTGCACGTGTTGTCTTTTAGTATTGTCCCTTTCTGATGCACAACAAATTTTATCCTTCGCCACCACTCCTGATGAGGTGAAACAGGCATGGAATGAATGGCACAGAATTCTGCATGTGAAATTCTGTGCCTTCAGACACTTTCACTGTTACCAGTTGTTTGCACGAATATCTATGTTATAAGAGGAAGTGGGGGTAACACTGCTGTTGTACAAGTATAAAAAAAGCTTATGAGAAGAAAATTTTAGTAAATAACAAAACATAATAAGGTCTTGAAGGAAGTAGGTCTTGAAGGAAGTAAAATTTTTCTATTTATAGTGAAAAGAAGTGACAGCTACCTCACTGAGCCTTTCCTAATGTTAATTAAAAATAGACAGTTTTTTTTTTCTATTTCTGTAAACGTGGACAGAAGAAAATATCAATTCCACTGTTTGAGAAAGAATAAATGACTGCTGTGCTGTTGGGATCCCTAGTAAGTTTGGCAGGTATCCTTAATTTTGGAATTGTGTTTTAAAGATATGTGCTAATATGTAAGACTTAAAATAATTTTTTTAATGGTAAAAACTGACTGTTACAAAAATAACTGCCTACATAATAACAGCCATTAATACAAAAATCTACTGTGCTCAAATTACATTTCAAAAAGATAAGATTCTCTTGGGTATTGGAAGAGCAAATGGCATCTGATACACATCATATCATCAGAGCAGCTGAACAGCTTTCCAGAGAGGACACTATACGCTGGGCTCCAAGGGATCACGTAGACAGGTCAAAATGTGGAAATCCGATAAACTTGTTTTCACTACTCAAGCAAATATCTTCTGCCTGGAGCATCAAGGTGCGTTTTCAATCTTGCTTCTTAGCAGCATCTGTAGTAATAAGTTGAAACAAATATGAAATCTATGTAGAATTACTGCAGACATTAAAAATGCACACAGATTCATTTCATTGGTGGCTTTTGATAATTTTCAAAACACCAAAGTGTTACAGGAGCATGGGTTACATCAAATTTCAGGGAGATTTCAATATATGTATATTATTTTCTTCAGCCTCCCTCAGTCTTCAAACCAATGCATGTTTAGTTGTTTTAGAGTTTTCAATCTGGAAATCTAATTGTACAAGAAACTAAAGATTTTTTAGAGAGCTATTTGTAGGAGCACACCATCACAATTTCAAAATGTTCCTGTTTTAATAAGTTAAAATGACATTTCAAGGCTGTCTTATAACTTGTCGTACTGTGCTGAGAGGAAAGATGGCTTGAGAAATGTGTAGTTTCTTTTCCATTATTTGTTTTTGTGTTTCTCTGCATAGATCTTGATGGAAAAGCTAACACTTTGTATGTATGGTACAGACCTTTTGGTAATTATAATCTACCAGAAACTTCTTTGTGGTGTTCTTTAATGTTTTGTCACATAATGAGTATTGAGGAGAAACATTCAATAAATCTCACCTTCATGAATTCTATTGCACTTTCAGTTTAGGTTATTTATTATTTGTATGGTGTACAGCGCATGCTGTACATTGATTTGCCCTTTCCTAAAGAAAGATAGCCATCTGCTGCTGCTGCTTCCTCCTCTTCTTTTGATGGCACATGGATTTAGAGTAAAGGATTTGCCTCAAATGATTTCGAAATAACTGTTTAGTTAGCATGCACTACAATTAATAAAAGCTCAATTAAGTGTTAATAAGTAAGGGATTATCCGTTATCTTTAGATGCATGGTCTCCTGATACTGTATGCAACTTGTATATGCCAGATTACTATAGAACAGTTACGTGCATCATAGATACAGTTTATATTTAGTACAAACTATCAAATACCCAGTGCTTCTGTGTTCTGAATTCTGTGCTTGAATTTGAAGTCCTCCTACCCCTGTTTCCTTCTCAAACAAATGGTCTTTTTCTCTCGCTTGTTTGACCTAACTACCTATGGTTTTTATTTCATATGGCTACTTTTGAAACATTTCCGCATTCTTGTATTTTGGGCTTATTTACTGTGTATCACCACAAATTGATTGATTTTTTTTTTGGTCCAATTCTCTGTTGTTTGAGTGCCTCTTTTGCATATAGAATATCTAGATTGGCGACCTTCACCTATGGAGCCTTTCCCCCCCCTGCCCTGTTAATGTCATTTTAGCCTAAGAAGGCCTTTTTCAGATTTACCATCCTTCCTCTATGAAAACACTCTCGTTAGAATTGTTCCTGTTTTCCTTTCCTCTGATGTAAGTTGGTCACGTCTGCTCATGGCTCTAATCAGGCATTCTGCACTGAAATCAGCTAAAATGTACTTGGTGACAGAGCTGTGAGAAAGAGGCATGCAAAATGACCTCGGAACAGAAAACATATCGTTTGTTGCTGCTTATCCTCTGGACTTCTCATTTAACACATCCTCCAGCAGGTAGTCACTCCCCCTGCTTTTGCCTAACACCGCTGTGGCTGGCTTCTTTGTTCCTGCTGTAGTGGATCATACTGACCTATTTGTCTTCTGTGAACCCTGGACCAGCGGCTACAACAACATGAACATATGCAATGCTGCTCTGGTCTCCTCCCATTCTGCACTCCTAAAAATCGCTATATTGGGTGATGGGCAATGCCATATGTGCATAGACCATATGGTATTTTCTCCTTAATCTACAGTGTGCTTGTTCATCATACATTGTAATATTTTGCTATAGGCTTGTAAGTTGTTTGTCTTTTGGAAGCTATTTTTATTTGCTGGAGTTAACGGAGTGTACTTACATGGAAAACTTGATTTTGTAATAAACAGTTCTTGGTAGTAAAGGACATGACATAATGCTATAGATTCAACAGAAGATAGCTCTTAAAAGGAAAATGTTAAAATGATGTCTAAATCCTTATTGTTAAGGAGTTGAGCCATGTAACTTGTTGGTCATTTTCATTAACGTCAATATGGGGAATGAAGCTTGGAAAACTTGCCTCCCAAAGAGTTATTTTATCATGAGCACTAAATTTTGCCTTTAAACAGGAAGAAGTGCATTAAGTGTGAGCTAATTACAAGTTTTGCAGCAACTTGACCGCTAACTTGAGGTCTGTGTCTGTATCCACATTCTGCATTCTTTGAATTCATCTTGGTATAATATTTTTAAATATTTTAAATGGCAGATGTGCATTGCTTATAGATTTGTGTAAATGTTGATGCACTGTATACAAAATATGTCTCCCATACAATGATCTGTTGACATTATTCTCTGTTGCTTAGCTTCAGACAGTAAAGTCATGACATGTGCTGCTGTTTGGAGGATGCCGAAGGAATTGGAATCAGGCAGTCATGAATCCCCTGATGATTCATCAAGCAACACTCAAACCCTGGAGCTACTCTGTCACCTTGACAACACAGCCCATGGCAATATGGCCTGGTAGGATTCTGCATATTTTATACTCCTAGAAAAAGCCTAAAGGATAGACCCGTGCTGTTAGTTTTGTGCAGATTTATATTGTAGAAGCTATGCTATACACTTAAAAACTATTCCATCTTTAAAAAAAAAAAAGGTACAAATTGGATTTTTAGTCCCAGATGTTTCATAGATTAAAAACATTTATTATAGTCCTGCAAACACATATGGAGTAACAGCCTGTGTACTGTTTTAATGTGTTTCTTCCCACCTGCCCCCATCTAAAACCTTTGTTGCACAAAGGTATAACAGTTAGCATTTCAGTCTTTTTATGGAATATAAATTTGATGTTGCACTTTGGTCTTTGTTTTTCAGTCTTCACTCGACTGATTTGCCATAAGTGCAAGCAATTTATTATTTGTTAAGCATAAGAATTCATTATATTATATGGTACCTGTTTAATTACTCATTTCTGTTGCCTAAGAAAAGACAAGGAGAGCTGCAGTACTACAGAGGGTATTACAGAGGTTTGTTTCCTTTTCCTTTCTGCTATTTAAAAGAAAGTTAAATTTGTCCGTTGTGTATTTGCAAGTTCTTTGCTTTATGATGGGTATGTATATGATGTGTTCCCACTGCTTCCTGAACAGATGCAAGGCAAAGAAATGTTAATGCACTCAGTCCATACGTAACAACTGCAATGTTGTTTGACATAGTTTTGGGACCACCTGACCATTTTCGCATGGCAGGAAAAGTCGAGACTGTAAGAATATGGTCTGCTCTAGTCCTAGGAATGTCTTGTCTGTCAGAAAGAATACGGAGTAGGAGGTGGTCGTGCAAGCTGTACAGTCCCTTTCACAATTATCAGAGGATTTTAAGAAAAAAAATTGGACTAAGACAGTAGATCTTTGTAAACGAAATGTGACAACTCTGAACTGAAATTGAACAAGGATAACACAACATCAATGTCGGATATTGTTGTAAGTGCCTCATGAGTGTGTAAAGGGCGTCTTTGGTTTCTGTATTCAGACACCTGCTGTGTAAGGTATCCATCATAATCTGATTATTCTTAAATATATTCTAGTAGGAGCAATTTTAAATTATATCAACAGGGAACAATACTTAAAATAAGTCACAGTTCCTTTTAAAAATCTGGCCGCATAAAAATTTCTATTCATTAACTAACTAGTGAAAAAAAAAATCGTAGAATTTAGAAGTGATAGCTAATTCAGTTGACTTTTAATTATGTCGTACATTGTACTGTAAGTTTTAAGCATCTATTTCTAGCCACTGATTTCTAGTTTGAGCCTTGTAGATTAAATTTCAACCAAAAAAAAAGTAACTAGAAGGTAATATTTATTAGGTGGTTCTTGGATAAGACTGGACATATCAGTGTAATCAAAAGCGTGTTGTCTAGGCTACTTTTTTTCTAAAATCTCGGCTTCCTGAATGTTAAATTTCTTTGTGGTAGTATCTTTTAATTCTTTGCTACTCATTTTTGTATGATCTTTTTATGATATATGATATCATATATTTATAACTCTTTGATTATATTAAACAATTCCCTTTTTATTGTTGAAACCTTTTGATAATTAGTTTCCAATATAGTTGGGAATATTATTTTTTTGTTTGTTTTACTCTTCACCTTTTGCCCTTTAAGATTTGTACTTTTTGTCATTGAATCTTCCATAATCTCTTTCTATCTGATGCTGGGATGCCAGAACTCTGTGTAGTAGGTTGATCACCAGAGGAGAAATAAGGGAGCAATAAGGGAGCATATCACTGCTTTATATCGGGATATAAATGCCAAAAATCAATTTTTTCCTCTAATTTTCCTCAATTTTCTGTCTCTTGTTGTCTGACTTTGTTCAGTACTAATGCTTACAAATACCTGCTGCCACTTAATACTCATTAACTATGTCTGTGTGTATATATATATACATAAAGATTTGGAAATGTCCTGTGTTACAGAAAGATAAAAGATATAAATGGAATGTTTGGCATTAATTCCCCCCCACATCATCTCAGGCAAGCACAGCTGAGTTAAAGGATCTTGTTCTAGGGCAGGCTTTTCTGTTCCTGCCTCAATCATAGTGGAAACAGCTCACATAAATGAGTAAAATAAATGTTTTGTGCCAAATGTGTGTCACTTAACAGGCCATGTCCCACTGAGTGCTGTTGACTACAAATAGCAACTTAAGTATTTTTTTCTATTATGTATTTCAGATGTTTCAAAAATATGTAACTACTTTGGACACTTATGGTACAATTGTTGTTAGAACCAACTGTAAATCAGAAAAGCAATTTTCCTCAATGCAAAGTGGAAATACTTTTCTGACTTCAACGTAAGACCAACATTCTAGTGTACACAGTCACTTTGTATGAGATCAGTGGTGGGCTGGCATCACACACTTGCAGTAAGAAAGGCAGTGCTTATTCTGGCTCTGTCATTTGCCTTGCCATACTCTCATACATCTTACTGACAAAACACAGGCTGGACACTGGACCCAGGCGTTCAGTGAGCTCTGAGTATCTGAGAAGCTACAGCATATGGAATAATTATTTTAGCTGAGTCTTATGCTAAAACCATCAGCAAGGTATAACCCGGGGGTTCAGTGTGACCACATACACTTTAAGACGACTGTTTAATCTACAGAGTGCAGTAGAGCAATGTACCACAACAACGTACCACATTTGTTAAGGGTGGAAAAGTTTTTAAGTTATGATAGCTTTTGAAACTATACGCTTTAGACTTGATAAAGACTTAAAAAAAATAAGTTAGTTTTTAACACCATTGGTCAGAATGCATGCCTAAAACAAACAAACAAGTTAAAAACATACCGGGCTTCTATCACATCTTCATAGGCTGGGCAGGGAAGAGTGCCGTTGTTGACAGTACAGTTTCAAGATGCCGGGTGTAATGTTGATCTCCACCTTTGTGGCACCTAGCATAAACTTCTGTGATTCCAGATAGTAGCTTATGGGAAGGTATTGTGTGTGTATTGACATCCATAGCACAGGTGCTTCACAGTATTCATGGATCTGGGTTGCAGATCATAAGTAGTTGAGATTTAACTGTAATTAAAGGGAAAAAACCAAAACTGTCTTGAAAATGCAACTGGTTATGTACTCTGGCATCCGCTGTCTGTCTCAGGGCTTTATTTGCTTGTACTTTTGTTCATGTTTTGCCTGCTCTGCTTTATTTCTTCACTTCTTTTCTTTAAAGTTTATCTTCTTGCATTGTTTTTCTCTTCCATTAAGAAAGTCTGATAGCTGAAAAATTACCTTATAGATTTTTTTTTTTTATTTTATTTCTAGTCATTTGTTAGGGAATGCAAGGGGGGATTTCTTTTTTTTTTTTTCCGAGGTCCGGTGCATCAGGTATTGGTTTTGGTCAATTGTTTACTGGCATTAAGAAGAACTGATCCTGTGTTTTTGCTTACCATTATTTTGTCTCCTTTATGGAATGCTGTGCTCAAATGTCTCTGAAATGTCTTACTTAAAAACTATCGGAGACGTGTTTAATACCAATTTTCTTTTCTGTAAGCCAAGACTTTCTTTTGTCAGAAGTGAAACTGCGACTTTGCACCTTTTCCCCGGCATCTGCTGAAGGCAGGCTTGTCTATGTCTGCTTAACATCCTACTCTTCGCTTTCCAAATCTGGCAGGTATAAAATAGGGTAGATGCTACTCAGTAGCAAGGTACGTGCTTCAGAATAGAGGTGGAAAAAGTGAACTAAGTTGGATGGTGGTCCACAGAGTAGATTTGGAATAAAATAAAAGCAAAATAAATAGGGGGGAAGCGTTAGATGGACAATGTAGGTAAAACTGTAAAGAGAAAATGAATGGAGATTACAGAGACAAGAAAAGTGGGAGCTTAATTGCCTGAAAGGTGAGGAATGAAGAATTCACGTTTTATATAGAAAACAATAGTTAGCTGCTGAAAAAAATTGGAAAGGAACAAATATCTTAGGAATAATGATAGATTACTTCATTAAGCTTCTCTGCTTGCTGAAGTTGAATTTTTTTAGGGTATCCTACTCAATCAATCCTAAATATGACCTTGCAAATATTACCACATCTAAGAGAAACTAGAGAGGAAGACAAATTATATATATATATATATTTTTAAAGTCACAGGTGTTTCAGTAACTCTGGTATGTTTATCATTAAAGTATTAAACTAGAATTTTGAATTCACAAAGGAGGAATTGACTATAAATGAGCTATTCCCACAGACTTTTTAAGTATTTACATTTTATTTGGTATTTCATCTAAGGTCTCCAAATAGAGTACTGAGAAGTACCATCTCTTTTTTGGCTCTGTGATTGCACAATATGGAGCAACCTTATTAAGGTCGGCTTTCTACAAAAGTACAAATTTGTTATAACAGTTCTTTCAATTTGAATGTTAGTTTACTTTATTTAAGATACATAAGATACTATACAGAACATATTACTGCTTTACTTTCATCATGTTCATTCCATTAATGAACACAGTCACCTGATGAAAGTTAAGCATGTTTGTAATTGATGCCCTGAAGACAGGTGAGTAAGTGCATTTCAGAAGTGAGGTCAGAAGTGTTTTACTTATTCTTTTTGGCCTTTAAAATAGTATTTAAAAAAAAAATAATCCCCAAAACCAAAACAACACAAAACATTGTCTCAAGTAAAAAAGCCAAGAAGCAAGAGGATCTGAAACTCAAAAGAAAAGTGAAAATGGTGTTTTTAATGGCTCTAAAATTGCATTCAGGTAACACTTTTGTTCCCAGTCATGATGTTGGTAATGTTAATTCTTCTGCAGTACCCCTCTGTTAGGCAGAATTTTAACATATATATCCTGATGCCTTAGTGTTTCATTTTTAAAAAAAATGAAAGTCCAAAACGACTTAGTGATCTGTATCTAATAAACTCAAACCTGAAAGTAACACTTCTTTTAGGAGGATCATATGGTCTTGAATATATGCTTTATAGCAAAGGCATGTAATAAATGCAACCATCACTTTTTTGGTATGAAAACCTTATCTTAT